TGGAAGCCTACAGGAAAAAACCGTCTCTGCAAGGCATGCAGATAGGTGCAGGTAGGGCATTGATCCAGCAGTAGTTCTTCAGCAACTCGAAGTTCCTTGGAGCTGAGATGGAGCAAAAGGGTCTTGTGAAATTTGCAGCCTTGGTGGCTCTCCGCTCTTCGGACTGCAGTGCTCTAGAGAGTTTGAGCCACGTATGGTCTCCAGTGCTTTCTTGTACAATACCCTCCCTTTCTTGGTTCATGAAATGGGCTGATTTTGTTGCGTTGTAAGTAGCTGATGCCTACTGGCTCATCTGATGACTTGTGCATTTAGTTTAATTTTATGAGTGTGTGTGTTTGTTTAAGGGGTACTTTTAGTGGGTTTTTGGTTGTAGCAATGTTGGTCTAAGGACGTGGGCAGGCCAGGTTCTTTGAGTAGATGTGATTTTTTTAATTAGACCACCTGAGTAGTTGGAAAAAGGTTCTTAGCAAGCTTTCAGGGGTACTTAAAAAAAATGTATCTGGTCCCTAGTTTTTTTTTTTTTTTATGCTAAGTTCAGTGGTTAGGACTTGCATTATATAAATGGCAAGATTACTTTTTCATTTTTTGCTTGCAAACTGGCATATACAGAAAGTAGTGATCGTGGGAATCCATCACCATCAGCAATCCCTCAGTGGCCTCTACCCCATGGCTCACTGATGGGTCTTGAGGTGACTTAAGAGTCTAATTGCTCAGCCACAGATCTGTCAGCAGAAGTTGCAAGTCTTTCTGCAGGTAAGAGTAGGCTGTTGGCTGGGATTTCTCTCCTTTTCCTTCCTTTGCTCTCTGCTCTCTGCTTTTGAGGGGAAAATGGTTCACCTCAAAGTGGTCTGCCGCTTGGTTGAAATTGCAGTGCCATAGATGCAATCTGTCTAACACAGGGCTGTCCAACTCGCAGCTTGTGGGCTGCATGTGGCCTGAAAGGGGTTAATGTGGCCTCTGGGCTCCCACCCGGCTATCACTCTCCTTACTCTGGCTGCAGCAGCAGCGGCTGGAGCTTTCTCTCCTCTGGCTTCTGTTGCATGTCTTGGCCCTAGGGGATGTGGTGACAAAGTGTGGTGTGGTGCAGTGTGGCACAGCCCACAGTGCTGGGGCAGCTGGGGGCCTGGAGCACCTGTGCAGAAGGAATCCCCCTAACTGGGCAGCTGAAGTTGAGGTGGGGCACCACCATGTGTGGTGCACCAGGGGGTGCCTCCCTGCTCATGTGCACACACCATGGTCCCCACTGGTGTGGTCTATGAGGTGTGCAGCCCCCAGCTCCTGATAAGTTGGACAGCCTTGACTTAGCACACTGAGTTAAAACTATTTTCTGTTCAGGGTTTAAGAACACAAAGAAATGTTTGTCACTTAACCAAAATTTTAAATAGATGTCGTCATTTTAAAATCTCTTCAGTTGGCAAGGTGTTTGCTAGGTTTTACCAGGTTCTCAGAGCCCAGTTCCTCTTTGCTCTGAGAAAGTGTAACCTTATATGAGACCCAAGCTTATTAAGAATTACTGCAGTCTTGGTAAAGGAGAGACGTGTCTTCTCTTTGTACTCATTCAGAGTACGAATTAGGCTGTTGTTGGACTTAAAGATGCACATGCGCTCTCCTGCAAAACACTGGATTTCTTCTTTCAAAGCTTTTCTTGCTGCGGCCCTGTAGGACCAGATTTTAAAAGTATGTGGATACCTAAATCTGCAAATAGGTACTAGAGGGGTGTGGAAATTTTCAAAAGCTCTTTAGGTGCTTTAGAAAATGGCTTTAGGTAACATTGTGCTTTACTTACTGTATATAGAGACTTGGGCATTTATGCTGTATGGACTGAAACATCTTTGTTGCATGATGACTTATCTGACAGAAATTTCTGGAGATGAAGGATGCCTTATCCTCTTGCCCAACTGGTACAGGCTTCTCCATCCCCAAGTAATGGGGAAGTCTTGGGTCCATGCTCCTCACCCGTTGCTGTTGTCCACATGGTATTTGAAACTCATCATGGAGTAGCAGTGATCTTGAGCATATGGAATAGTTGAGCTTCCAGGGCCTGGTTTGAACAGAGCACTGTACTGATTTAACTAAGGGCCTGTTTTTAATCCTGGTGCAAACCACTTTCTGGACACTTTCATTTTTGTTTTGCTGAAGTCAGTTAGAACAGGCCTAATCTAAAACCAAAATGAGCAATTTGTAAACCAAAGTATCCACAATGACTTGTGCCCTGGCTATAGTTAACTTTTGCTTAGAGACAGACAGGTCCTATATTTTGTATGTTTTCTTGAGGATCATCTGGTTAGGAGGTGTGGATTGAGGACCATGGGGGGGAGGAATTGTGGTATTAAGGTGACACTTGCTACTGATGTATCACTCTGCTGGCATGTTGTATCCCTTTCCTTGATGCTAGTCTATTTACATTGTAAGTTTTCTGGGGCAGTGACTGCTTCTCTGTGACAGTACGAAGTCCAGGAGATCCCATTTTGATTAGATTTTAACTATTATCACCATAAACATGATTAATCAGCACAGACTAAATTTAGCCCTAAGAAGTGGTAGCTTGAAGTGAAAGGAGTGCCAAGACGAGTCAGTACGTCCCATTTTTTGGGGGTGATGAAATGGAGTGTCTGGTTGTCAGTTCACTTAACCTGTCCTCTCTTACCAGCCGTCTGGAAAGGAAGGGGTTTTTATGTGCAAGTTTTGACTGTTAAAATGTTGAGTGCTGGCTCCTATGTCAAAGTTGCAGTCACTGGTGATGAAAACAACTTCTTTGTTTAAATTAAAACAAACAACAACCTGTCCCTGCCAAACAACCTCCATATAAGTGTTGTGGTTTTCCATATACATCCAATTCTGGATTCACGCAAACTTGCGTATTGTAAGTGAGAGTTATTTGGAAAAAGTGACAGTTTTTTTTTAATATCAAAATAAGTTGTAATATTTTAAAATATTTTCATGAATATATTTACAGCTAAAAGGAAGACAAAATCTAAATGGTTATCATAGTAAACACAAATGTTCACACCAAGTGGTTCTTTTTTTTACCTCCTGTGTTTATTGGAGAGGAAAATTGGGTGAAAATCATAATGAAAGCTTGGGTATAACTGCAGCATGAAGCAGAAGCCAGTGCCTGCATAATCCTGACTTCCCTTGCAGAATGATGATAACCCAGGAACTGGTCATAAGTATTTGATTTTTGATTCTGACTTCATCATGATCCCTTCTATATGTGCTCAGGCAAATCTCTTATTTCGTAATTAAGGACTACAGGATGGGTCCCCTGTTTAAAATAAACCCTGCTTGGCTGGTAGAGGTGCTGAACAACATACTAAAATATTTACTAAAGACTTGTATTATTTAAGTTGCTCTGGGCAGGGCACCAGGGAGCTCATTTTTCAGTGCACTTTCTTATGGGTTAGTTGATGGTTTCTGTTTTTTTCCCACCCCCCAGGTGGATTTAAATACTCCAGGTTTGGCTACACTGTAACCTTTTCAGGAAACGTTTCTGTCAGTTAGATCTCACACTAGTTTCTTTTCTTGAACTAGCCTGGTGGCAGTGTGCATCTGTGATCTGGGAGAGAAGCTTCTATTGGGAAGAATATGCTGTTTGACTCATGACAGATGTGCTCCTTGAGCCTGAGCCTGGCCTTGTGACTTTGGAACTGCAGTGTTTGTATTGACCTCTCTCCTTCTGAAGTTGGATGTTGGTGGCACTGCTGCAGCTGCCCAGTAGGACAGGGATTCAACTGGTCCTGCCTGAATCTAGGGGAGCACCTAGGAAAGAAGGGCTGCCCTCCTCCTCCTCCTCCTCACAGCCACCAGAGCAGTGCAAGAAAGGAGAGAAGCTGAACCAACAACCAGTCCCAGCTTCCCAGGTTTTTGCCCCTGTCAGCCTAACAGCTCTCCATGTGCCTAGTGAGTAGCCAGAGCACAGTGTAGTCTAGTCAGTCATTCCTGAGGCACCCTGAAAATGTAGGACCCAGCCTCATCTCTTCTGAGGACTTCTTTGCAATGGGAAACAGCACCTGCAGCTGGGTTCTGCTGGCCGCACAGGGTAAAGCAGGGGTGGGCCCAGGGGCCACAAGGCATTTTGATGAGCTATCGTGGGCAAGGTCAGCATCCAGTCTCCCCCCACCCCCTGTGCAACAACTCACTGAAACTCCCTATGTGAGGTGGGGCTGCAGGTGGGTGGGGAGCAATGTTTGGGAGCAGGATGGGTGATCCGCTCCTGGCAACCCCCTGCCTGGTGGTGGGGTGTGTGTGTAGAGGTGTGTGGGGGGGGGTGCTGCCTGGGTGCTATGTCTTGGGAGCCAGCCGGGGCTGAGGTGAGGGAGGGGACGGTGGGTGTGTGCAGCAGAGCTCATGTGGGCAGTGAGGTCCATGGTGCTCTGTATGGGGCTGAGCCCTGCTGGCTCCAGCCTGCACCTGCTGGCCCCACCCTGGCCAGTGTTTACTGCTTGCTGGCTGGGCTGCTCCTGGTGTCGTAGCTCCCCTTGCCTCCAGCAGTGGATTGTCCTCCTGCTCCTGGCCCTGCTGTGCCACTCTGGCTGGGGCAGCTTCAGCCAGGTGGCTCCTGCCCCCATGTGCAGGCTGCTGGCTGCTTTCTACTTGCTCCGCCTGCCTGCAAAGTCTGGAACAGCTTGCCATCTGAGGTGGTTTAAGCACCTACACTGAACACCTTCAGGAGAAAATTGGATGCTTATCTTGCTGGGATCCTGTGACCCCAGCTGACTTCCTGCCCTTTGGGCAGGGGGCTGGACTTGATGATCTTCCGTGGTCCCTTCCAGCCCTAATGTCTATGAAATCTAAGAAAAACCTCTGAGTTTGTTTTCTGCAGCTAACCTTAAGAAATTTCTGAACTTTTATTTACATAATTAAAGTTACAGCATGCTGAAAGTTCCTGTCCTGCCCTCCATGTACTGGCCAGAACCCTATCTTTTATTTTCCTTTTGACGTCATCCAATATTTTATCCAAGTAAAGGTTTTTCAGTGGGGAAAAAATAAGAAATATGATAACATGTTTTGCGTTTAATTTTAGATTTCATCATGGGGGACATGAAAACCCCGGACTTTGATGACCTTTTGGCTGCTTTTGACATCCCAGACCCGACTAGCCTTGATGCCAAGGAGACCATTCAGTCAACTGGTGAGGACAATGAAAATCACCTGAAGCCATCTGGAATATGTATAGATGAAAATGTGTCCTTGTCCCACTCAGTGCCAGCTCCTGATACGCCTGTTGTGAGTGTTATTGTGAAAAACACAAGTCGTCAGGAGTCCTTTGAAGCAGAAAAGGAGGGGAATCACCTTGGACCTGGTCTGTTACACAATGGATTCCGTGCATCTGATTTGCCCTCAGAGCCTCACAATTTAGTGCACCATTATGGGAAATTTGATTCGGCCTTTATCAATGGTGATAACTCAAGAAACTACCCAGAAAAACTGGACCAATCAAAGTCAGAGCCTTTACCAACATTCAGTCAGTTCAGCCCTATCTCTAGTCCAGAACCGGAGGACTCATTCAAAGAGAACAATATTAGCGATAAACCAAAACATGCCCAAACTCTATATTTCCCAGCACCTCAAATGTATATTCCAACTGGGGCTTCTGCTCTAGATCATCTTCGGACGTTACCAGAGCCAGAGTTAAGTATGTTTGATCAATATTGCAAAAAGGAACAAAAGATGGAAATTCACTGCCACCAAGAAAGTCGGCTGGATATGAACAGAAGAGAACAGGAGAAAACAACAGAGAAGTTTGTAGAGTCCAGTAAAGATCTGGTGGATACCAACAGCTTCCTTGGAGAAGGTTTGACATTTGGAAATCTCCACAACAATAACTTGGGGGAAAGCAAAGTGTCTATACCTGATGTGAACATCTCTTCTTCAGTCCCGCCTCGCCAGCGTCTAAAGCCAACCCACTCCAAGTTGTCCTCTTGTGTTGCTGCATTAGTAGCTCTGCAGGCCAAAAAAGTTGCATGTATCCCAAAAGACGATCAAGCAAGTCTTACAAAAGAACCTTCTGGTTCTTTTAAAGATGGTATTAAGGGCAGTCCCAAAATGCCCAAGTCACCAAAGAGTCCAAGAAGCCCCCTTGAGGTGGTGAGAAAGACCAACAAGCAGCCTGAAAGTCCTCGGAGCGTGTGCAGTGATAGCAGTGGAAAAGGCTCTCCTTCCATGGCAGCTGGCTCTCCGCCAGCCATTCCCAAAGTTAGGATAAAGACTATTAAGACATCCTCTGGTGAAATTAAAAGAACTGTTACTCGGATTTTGCCAGAAAGTGATGATCTGGGCAAATCTTCTGAAGAATCACCTGCAGAAAGCTTAGCTACTGAAGAATTTATTAAATCCTTTCCTTCACCTGATACCAGTGCTGTTATAGAAAATGAGGCAAACAAGACTTCCACAAAAAATGGAGCCACTGTGACTATTCAGGTGTCAAATGTAGCAAGCCCCCTGGTTGATGGCATGAAAGTAGATATTGCCGCAAACAGCACATCCACTGCATCTTTGTCTCCCGTGTCCAACTGTAGCAGTGGTGCCATAAAAATAGGTGCTATCAGTCAGCAGCCCGGTAAGAGGCAACAGCAGGGCATTGCAATACAGCCATCTAACTCGACCACTTCCAGCCTTCTTCCCAAGGCGATACATTTGGCAAATCTCAATTTAGTCCCACACAGCGTTGCTGCTTCCGTTGCAGCAAAATCATCTGTGCAAAGACGAAACCAGCCTCAGCTAACGCAAATGACAGTGCCACTGGTTCATCAAGTAAAGAAAGCTGCTCCTGTAATTGTGGAGGCATTTAATAAAGTACTACATAGTGCCAATCCTGTGCCAATATATACTCCAAACCTCAGCCCACCATCTGACAGCAGTATTCATTTACCTACATCTGGGTATTGTTGCCTAGAATGTGGGGATTCATTTGCCTTAGAGAAAAGCCTAACTCAACATTATAGTAGGCGAAGTGTCCACATTGAAGTAATGTGCACTCAGTGTTCAACGGTGCTGCTCTTCTTTAATAAGTGTAGTTTGCTTAAACATGCAAGAGATCACAAGAGTAAAGGGTTTATCATGCAGTGTTCTCAGCTGTTAATGAAACCAATTTCCATAGACCAAATGTTTTCACCCTCTCCTACAAGCTCTTCAGTGTGTTTGGCTCCTCAAACTTTGCACTTGTCGTCTTCTTCATGTAAATCCAGTGCTACATTGGGAAGTGGTATGGGAACATCTACCAACGTTCAACCAGCCATGCCTCTCTATACGGACCCATTGCGGCTAATCCGTCAGGGACTGAAGTGTCTCGAATGTAACAAGCAGGCACCAGATTATGTTGCTTTAGCAGCACATTACCAGAGAACTTCAGAAGATAATGAGGGACTGGTAAGTAATTTCTTTGACATATTGGTTATGTGTTTATGCATTAAAGGAATTACCCTTTGAAAAATAAATTAAGCATCAAGGTAGGAAGTGAATTATTTATGCTCTTGTTATTGTATTGGAGCCAGATTTAGCAGTGATGTTGGAGAGTGAACTAGGAAGCAACTTGCATTAAAATGTTGGGCTGCAAGCACCAAAGCACTGTTGCACTAGGGACAGAGGGTGGTGATCTCTCTGGGCACATCTACACATTCATTTAATGGGCTGTAATTACAGCACATTAAGTTCAGTTAGTACCTGTAATTACAAGTACTAACTTAACGTGCCTTAATCAGTGCTGCTGCACATTAGCACCAGTGCACACTTTTCTGTGATGCTAATGTGCAGTAGACAAATTGTACTGCGCATAATAGCGCATTAATGCGGGTTTTGCTTGCTGTGCTAACGCGCAGTAGAATTGGTTTACTGCGCCTTTAGCTTCTCATGTAGATGCACGCTCTATGTGCCTTTGAGGAGCTTGCACTTAAGCATCATAGTCCTTAGTTTTGATTTTGTCAGTACAAGAAACACTGAGCAATTAGCCCTTACTGCTGCTTTGCAGAGAGAAGAGGCTCAGGGTAGGCAGAGGAGTGTTGGACTTGCACGGATTCTCAGTTTGTAAAGGGAGGAATTCCTGAGAGCTGGAGATCAGTAGTTGCTCAGAAAGAAGTATGCCAGAACTCTGTAGGTGAACGGCAGAAGGGCAGCTGTTTAATTAAAGAGGGTTTTAAAGTTAAAGTCTGTTGAGGGAGTCATGTGACCATGTTTAAGTTAAGCTTTTCATAAGGTTTTGAAATGGGTTTCATTTGCGTAGCACTTTGAACTCTGAGGCCTGGGTTATATAGTTGGCCTGCTGAGGCATCAATGAAAGAAGAGAGGTCAAAAGGCCAGAAATGCAGCATCCTGCAGTATTGTGGCAGGCTCTTTTTTGCCCTGCTTGTAATTGGGCCCAGACCTGCCAGAGGCTTCTGGTGGGATATTAAAGCAGGAGCCCTGCATGTTGGTGCGCACACTCTGCTCCTCAGCAAAGGACTCAAGTAAAAGGCTTCTCACCCAGTTGAAGAAACTGCTGCTGTCTCCACAGTGCTCTGGCACACTTCTGCATGATAACTGATCTCTAGCTGTGAGGAATTTGTTCCTTTGAAAGCAGAGACTCTGTGCAATCCTAAAACTCCTTGGCCTGCCCTACCCACAGAAACCAAAGAGGGGGCATTCCATTGTTGCACAGCAAGACCGCCCCTCAGATTATTTGAGGGGATGGTCTGTCGTATAACATCCTTAGCAAATATTCTTAAACAACCAGTAGTTAAACAGCAGGCAATTTAAAGAAGGCAAAGCTTTCTATATATTTTTAGCTACTAATAGGATGTATCTGAATTGTAAATGCTGGGAGACCCCAGGTGTAATTCTCTTAATTGGATCCATAAATCAGGCCTTCAGGCTGTCATGGCGTGGTCTGGTCTGTCTCTGCCCTAGACAAGACAGCTGTTTGTTCCAGATCAGACCATTTTTCCTTAGTTTTTCAACTAACAATACTCTAGATAAGAAAACTATTGGGAGTGCTACTCTGGAATTTTAAACTTTATGTGACCCACTTTATTTGCTGTAGTATTTCTCCCTGTTAGATCTGTACCACAAGCAAGGAATGGATTACCTGATCCACTGGTCTTAGATTAGTCAGAGATTTTAAGAGCAAAAGGGATTGTTTTAGTTGTTTATCCTGGCTTCCTGTAGGACCCCGGGCAAAGAATTAAACTTTGCCATAGACGCATCCCTTTTGTTTGAGAAATAGCACGTTTTTAAGAAAGATGCCTGGTCTTGATTTAAAAGCCTTACATGTGAGAGCATCCACAAACAACTTGCTCCTAGCTTCTACCAGCTATTATCAGAAATGTCATTTCTATGTTCGGTGCCAGTAGTTCATCTTCATGTCACCTCTTAGCTTTTTTCTGAGATAAACTAAATAGATTGAGCTACTTAAGCCTCTCATGGTATATCATGTTCTTCAGCATTCTTGTACCTCCTTCCTAAACCTTTTTCCAATTTTTCAACTTTTTCTTTTTGAAGCATGGGTACTACAACTGTATGCAGTATTTCAGTAATGGTCTTACTAATGCTAGCTTCCTAGTCCTGTTTGATAGTTCCATGGGTATAACCTGAAAGTTTGCTCATGTTCATTTTCTCAAGTACAGTATTGTACTGGGAACTCATGTTCAGTTGGGTCTCTGCTGTTTTACCCCAAGTCCTTTTCAGTCTCTGCATTCCAGGAGACCGTATAAGCACTCCTTTAAAGATAAAGTTGTGTCTACGCACCCAATGAAGGTTTGGTGGCCTTAGCAGCTGGCCCTTGAATGTATATTTTAAGTTACTTTTAACACACTGTGTAGCTAGAGCTGCTTCTTTGGTAATGACACCTCATGATGGCTTTACTCAATTTAAATGATGAAGCTGTCACTAAGTGGGGGAAGATTCCTGTTTACAGAAGAAAGAACATTCATGGAAGCCAAGAGAAATCTGTAGAGCTTGTTGAAAGTGGATAACAATTTACTGACAAAAAGATTTTGTTAACCTGCAGTTAAGATTGTCCTGTAGTATCTTGTGTCTTCTACTAATGTCAAATTCAGCAAAACCCAGTGTTCTGAAGATCAGGAAATGGGGAGTTAAGGTGACAAGCCCAAGTAGCCCTGTGAAAAGCCAAAGCCAGAGCATGTGCACTGAGGTTGTGTTGGGATACTGCTTACAGAGGAGACTGGTAAGTTGGACTGATTGTGTAATTCGTATTTCTAGACCACTAAAGTGTGACATTGTTTTGGTGGAATCAACATTCTGAAAGTGCTCAAGATACTAAGGAAGAATCAAAATCCAATAAGCTGTACTGGATTTAAAAAAAGCTTCTTTGTCAGTGAATGTCTTAGGTTCTTTGATAGAAAGAAATGATATTGGTAGGAGTTAGAGGTCACACAGGTATGTTCGTACCAATATGATTATACCACAGTTGTTATGTGTGTGAGATGTCTCTGGGGCCAGATAAAGGCTTTTTATCATAGGATCACAAAGCAGTTTGCCAAGGAAGGAAGTAGTATTATCCCCTTTTGTAGAAATTAAGGATACTGAAGCCTGGAGAGGTAAAATAAATTCTTCCACCATTACCCAGGAGGCCAGTGGTATGGCTGTGAATACGGCCCAGGTTTTCAGATTCCCAGGCTAGGCTGCATAAGTGCTGTGTGACTGCTTGCATCCTCTCTCTGTACTGCTTGGTTATGGTGGAAAGGGGATAGTGACCATGCTTCCAACTGTTTGAAATATGTGGTTGCTAACAGCCCAGTAGCAACATCTCAGACAGGCCTAAGCACCAACGCCTTTGGCAGTTTTTAATACAATAATGTTCAAAACATGAATGAAGACTAATGTGTCTGTCTTCTCCATTCCTCTCCTCCACAATATAAGTCTCTGCCCACCCACCACCATTTCAAAGACACCCTCCACTCCTGTCCCATTTAGCTATCAGCACTTTAGAAGGTAGATGTATGTGAAAACATTCACAGAGCCTGTGAACTTCAAGAAATGCAGTAGCTGACCTCTTTGAGGCATCTGTGTCTTGGGAACCTCTTGCCTAGAAAACCTGAAATGAGAATCCCTGAATTTTTCCTTGTGACCCCGTGAAGCTCAGTACATTTCAAGACAATCCAAATAAGCAAGTGGATTTGAGAGTCCTTGGAAGAATAGCCTTGAACCAGAAAAGTCCTCTCAACTCTGCCTGTACTGGAACTGGATCTTTGCTCTAATGTTGTCCAAAATTAATCTTTGCTCATTACTTTGCTAGATCTAGATGCCATGCACAGGCTAAAACTGGAGGAGAAATTTTTTTAGGGAGTATGGATGAAGATTAGAGGGAAGGAGCTGTACACCTTTTCCTGCAGTATAGGTGGAGTAGAGAAATGTAAAGTGGCCTGTTCATCTTGATGTAATGTTCTCAGCTAGATGTATATGGCTTGGAGCATTATCTTCAAAGCTTATAAACTGCCTTGGGCATCTTGGTGCATATTCTCATCCTCTATTCCCAGTGCTTGAAAGCCTGAGGTATGCATCCAGCATGCCCATTCTTAAAGACTTCTTACCCCAGTCTTAGCACTATGTTTTTGGTATATGCTTTCTACATATCTGCTTTCAGCTCCATACTTAGATCAGGGCTTCCCTTGATTCTAGCTCTCAATGTTGGTAGGAACAAAGAGGCACTCATAAAGAAAGCCCCCTCACCATGTCCCCCACGCATGGCTGGAGACAGACAAAGTCTTTGTTCCATACAACATCACAGGGAGAGTGGCAGGACCCTCTCTGGTCCCAGCACACACCCAGGAGGGGAAAATGCAGGACTGATAAGTGCCCATATCCTTATTCCACCCAACTCATCATATTGTCCGTGTCCATGTCACCCCCTTCCAACATTACTTACCCTTGACTGTAGTCCTCTTAATCTCCCTCCCCTTTACTCCCTTCCCTTGCCTACAGCCTTAAACCCCTCTCCAGGTTCCCCCCAACTCATCTTTGCTCCTGTTAAGCATTCAGACATACAGTTTATTTTCTTTTTTAAAATTGAACATCTCCTGAATTTTTGGGTGACACTAAGCTGGATAGTTAGCAGACACTTAAGAGAATAGGATTAGGATTCAAAATGAACTCAATATATTGGAGAAATGGTCTGAAAAAATTGGATGAAATTCAGTAAGGACAAGTGCAAACTGCTGTGCTTAGGAAAGAGCGATCAAATACTGGAATACAAAATGGGAACAACTGGCTAGCCTGCAGTGTCCTAGAAAACTACAGGCTATAGTGGACTGCAAGCTGAATCTGAGGCAACAGTGGAATATTCCTGCAAAAAAAAGATCTAATTGCCTACTGGGTTGTACAAGCAGTAGGGCTGGAGAGAAACTGTAGGAAGAGTCTTCTGCTCTGTCCAGCAATGG